GCATACAAACATGCATGTTAATCAAGATTATTCAATTTAACACACAACCAAGATATTAATCAAAGTAAAAGATAAGGGTAAGAGAAGATTGCACAAGTCTTTTATCCTGGTTCAGCCACTCCACATGTGACCTACATCTAGTCCTCAATCATAACCTGATCAAGATTTGTTCCACTATCTTAATGAAGAAGTTTTACAAGCATACCACACATGCATACACTCCTACATTCAAGATAACCACTTTCTTGACCCCAAGAAAGCACCTCTTGTAGAAACCCACTACAAGAATTCCTTCCCACTTGAGACACCTACTCAAGATTCACAATTATTCACAAAGAATTAGAGGAACGAATTCACCTGGAAACTGAACAGATCAAACTGTGAATTCAGAAGCAAATCTTAATCTTTCTCTTTCAAGAATGTGATGATGATGATGATCTTTTCTAAAAGCATTTCAAAAACGTTTTACTTCTTGGTTTCACAAAGAAAACACTCCAAGAAGGTCACAAAGACTTGACAATAACGTTTTTTTTTTATTCTCTATTCTATCTTGTTCTGAAGTTTCAAAATGTGAAAACTATTTATAACATTTTCAGAACCAGATAATCGATTATTTTAAAGGATAATTGATTATTTTGTTCTTCATGATTTCTAGAAATCAACCAAGAACAGATTAATCAATTATTTTGCAGGATAATCGATTATTCCAAAGAGTGATTCCTGGGATAATCGATTATCTCACAGATAATCGATTATCCCAGGAATCACTCTTTGGAATAATCGATTATTACAACAAGGCATCCTTTTCACCTATTGCTGGAATAATTGATTATATTTAATAATAATCGATTATTTTGAGTCAATTTTCAAAAACTCTATTTTATGTCTCAAAATAACTTTTCAAGTTTCTAACTCATCATCATACTCACTCTTAGTCAGATTAGATAAATATTAACCCATGCACAAAGCACACACATGCAAAATAAGCTCAACAAAACAATACAACTTATGA